TGTTAGCATTTAGGAAAAGTGACCTTCATAATAGATGTCAACGTGCCTCTTTCACGCTTAAAACAGTCAAATTTAGACATGTAAATATTTATGTATATATATGTAAATATAAGTTCATATATCTATCTATATCTCTATCTATATATATATCCCTGTATTCTGCATTAGGTTTTATTCCACTCAACGTGCCTTGCTTTAAATCATTGAGGACTTGTAGAAAACATGACCTTGTTCTGGTGGAGTAACCTAGAATCCCCTTCACTGAGTGGGCGTGTGATGAAATGAAATGTATCCATCTTTTGAGGTTGTGCCCTGCATTGGAATTCTGGCTTCAGAAGTTACTATTTACTTTTTCTGGAACACATCATTAAAATTTGACTTGAACTATGATTGTAGAATTACAGATAGAGGTATGAAGCACTAGATATATAGGAGGCAATAAAAAATTCTATTTTGTTATATACCAGCCTCCTCAACCAGAAGAAAAATTCTGTTTGGCTGGCCACAACAAAAGGTTTCATGACTGAATTTTCTTATTCCATTCTTGATACCTTGGAGCACTACTCCATGGTGTAAATGGAAGAAGGGGTAAAGGAGGGGGAAGCTTGCTTATAGCTGGGACACTAATGAAATCTTAACCAAAAAGTTTGTATATTGGATTATTGGTCAAAAATTACCCAAATTCCCAGTTTCCTCAGAGCATACTTTCTTTTCTAGTAACATACTTTCTAATAATATACTTCATTTTCTAATAACTTACTGTACTGAGCTCTTCAAGTTACTTTACATGTTGGACTTTCTACTACTAGTAAAAGAGAAAGAAACATAGTAAGAGAAATTAATGTTTCAGTCACTTTTCTCATTGTTGGGACAAAATACACCACACCCTAAGTTAAGGAGGGAAAGGTTTCTTTAGCTCACAGTATGTAAAGATTTTAGCCCATAATCTGCTGGCTCCAAGAAAGGGTGGCACATGGCGGAGGGACAACTGGTCATGGTGGTAGAAGTCAGCAAAAGGAACATGAACAGAAAAAGGGGTAAGTAAGCCTCTTTCTCTCCCTTATACTGCATGGAGGCTACCTGCCCTATGGTGGGTTAGCACTCACGCCTCCAATCGTAGCACTAGACAATGAACCCATCACAAACTCTAGATTTAGCTACCTTGGAAAAGCCTGCCCCACCATGAGCACATGAGGCTTTCAGGGGACATCTAGACAAAGCATAACAGTTAGTAAAGAAACAAGATAGAAGTAGCTAGGTTTCTCCTCTCTCAAAAAATAAAATATATAAAGTATCACATCACTTTATCAAATAATCAGAAACTAGAAAATTTAAAAGATTTACTCAATTTAAAAGATTTTTCTATTCTATTTTTTTCTTACAAAAAGAAAAACAGGGTTAAAAATAAAAGTACACTCCAAATTGAGGAGTGGAAATAGCCTTTGAATGATGGATTAGAAAATATGTTGTACTCATTCCATAAAAAAGTCTCATGGTAGAAAATTTGCCCTAAACCAACATTTGCAATTATTGTCAAATAAACCATTTTAATCATACCTTCCACTGTTAAAGGAAAACATCACTGCTCTATTTCTTGTGATTCATAGTGAATTGATCAGATTCATGATGCCTGGGATTATTCAAATTTATTACTGATTCAAAAATAATTTAGAAAATAAGTTTTCTGTTTCTTATTATGTAAATCAGCATAAATAAACTACTATACTTTTAAAGTCTTAAACATTCATTATAAATATGCATTCTGCATACAGTTTACTTTTACCATTTATGCAGTTGTCAATTATTTTATTGAGTGAATCAGTATCAGTGATATAGCCATAGGTATGTAGTAAACACTCAGAAGGGTTTGAGTTAAATTTATTTTCATATGAAATATATATGATTGATCTTCAGTATTTGAAATGATGCTATAGCTATATAGAATTTATAAACTGGTTCAGTTATGATTACTGACTTCTCCATGTCAATAGGCTCTAACCAGGAAGGGTACCCAAAAGCTAGACACAACCTTGAGAGGAAAAGTTTGAATGAGTCTCCCTATCATTCTTTCAAGTAATATGAACAATGATAAAACATGAAACAATATTATTGTAATAATTTAACTATATTTTTTGTTGGTAAGTTATTTATTGGATTTATTAATCTCTACCATGTTGCATGATTCTAGGGGGCACTTATTTCTTTTTTCTATATCCTAAAATGCTCCTTTCTACCTTCATTATAGTTCACCTTTGTTTCTTTTACATAAACAAAGGCCACTTTTGTCTAGTGTTAAAAAATCTCCTCTCCTTCAGCAGTAGAAAGGAAGTGAGTGCATCGGTGTGTCCTGTGAGCCATTCACAGGAGTGGCCTTCTTGGCCATGGGTTATTGAACAATATTTTAGAGTTATAACTCAATGTGGAGGCGTAAGAAATGTGAAATATTCAAAACACAATATTTGTTATTACCAAATGCGTATTCATTCTTGTGACCATCTTACCCTGTGAGTTATTTCATGGAGGTTTTGGGCATTTTAAAAATATCAAAAAGTAATAGAGATAAAGTTGTATGGTTTTCAGGCGAAAAGTCACTTCATGAAGACATTGTCCTGGGAAGTTACTCGCTTCTGTCAGAAGCACAGGGCAGGGGCAGCTGTTCTTTCCTGTATGTGACAGCAGAGTAACACCTGAGAGGTGAACATGGCAGTCACTGTAAGGAAAGACGACCGGCTGTAAGGAAAGCTCGCTGCTCAGTGGTCATGCCTGTTAACTTCTACAGATCCCTGCATCAAAGCAGCTGGATCCCATCACAACAGAAGGCACTGTGACTTCTTTTCCCCTTCAGGATTAGCACAATCATATATTTAGGTGGGGATTATTTGGTTGTTGGGTTGCTAATGTCTCAACAATGGCAATGTACAGTCTCTGTCATACCTACTGTACCAGGCTGTGCTCACTGTAGAAACAGGTTTAACATAAGGTGTAAATATACAAGCACTTAGAAGGTGGGCTTAAGATGGCTGCCTGTGGAGTCTGATGTGGAAGACTGCAGGAGGGCTGTCTGCACTCTGGAGATCCGAAGGAGCCAGTCAAGAGTCAGAGGTGTGCAGCTCACTGTAGAGCCTTGTGAGAGTTTGTATTAGTGGCCAAAGGGGCCGAGGTAGAAGGTTGAAGGGTCTGTGGCTGGACTTTCAAGGAGAAGACAAAGGCAGCTCCTCTGAAGAAACAGAGGCAGGACCCCCTTCCTTCCCCTTTCCTTTCCATTCAGGCTACAAGCTATTGGCTGGGTTCCACTCACACCCAGGGTGGATCATCTGTCTTTATTAAATCCATTCAGTCATACTCAGCACTGTGCTAATCTAATCATGTGGGTATTTATTACTCAAACTGACACAACACTTAACTAGCACACTCATTCTGCGTATGTGTTCTACCAGCAGTTCATGCTCTATAACTGGCAAGTCGCTATTAAGTAATACATTGGCTTGTACATACTAAAGGTCCAAAAACTCCACCTGGACGAGGACGAGGCCAATGCTCAGGGAAAGCAATGAGAAAAGAGATGGAAATGATGTCCCACCAAGACTGATACCCTCTACCAAACGCAGCGTGTGAAAGATTCAAAGAATAATGTACGTTTTCCCAACTGGAGATAATTATCTTTTAATCAACAATCCAAATAAAAGCAAGCAAAGATAAATAAAATAAGCCACTGATAACAATAAAATAGAGTACAAGTAACAAATATTAAAGCAGGAACCCTAGGCATTAGGAATCTCTCTGAAGGTAAAGAGATTCTGAGCATGTCTTAGAGTGAGTATCTTGATGGAGACCCTGGCTAGCTAGGGCATTCGGAACCTGTGGGACCAGATCAGGAGCAAAGATCTTCTCACCCAGAGCTATAATTATTCTAAACTTTCAGAATGCTTGAAAGGCGGTTAAACAAGATTCACATCCATAAATTTGAATTTGAGATTCTTTTTGAGTAAAACCATGCCTGGCTCCATAATTTGGTTTATCTTTGGTTTAAACCACAGTTAATCTTTGTTTGCCAACTCCTACTTAAAAGTCTCTATTGAAGGGCTTCAAGAAGAGTAACTGGACCTGTCACAGCGGGGCTCAATTGGTCACATGGCGATGATCTAAGGAGCTGGGCAGGGACTGCCTTGATCAAAGCTTCAGGCTGCCAGTTACAGACACCTGTTTTGGCTGGAATAGAGGCTCCTCCGGGTGAGACTGTAATATGTTTCCTGTCTGTGTTGCCAGAGAAGCCTGTGCACAGAGCAGCTTGGTTAGTCTTCTTTTTGCATGGATTTGCATTTAATAGAAAGCCATAGTACACACACACACACACACACACACACACACACACACATGAGCGTGAGCTAACTGTATGCATTATTACTGATTGGAAACACTTATTCTCCTATTTCACTTGTGCTCTTCTTTAGAGGAGGAAAAAATTCATGCAGGATGAGCTAGCATTGTTTGTCAATCACTTTCTACATTTGGAGTCGGTCCAGAAAACCCAGGGGGAAGTTCAACTCAGCCACAGTTAATCTGCAGAAAATCCACCCACGTGACTTCCCCCACCCCGCCACTGCTGATCTTTTCATGTATTCTTTATAAGGGATCCATTGAACTTTAATTAATATGAAAAATTCAGGCTTTCATTTGATTTAAATGTGACTGACACCACGCTGTTTCTAAAACTGGAACGAAGTACCAGCGTGGTGGAAATAAAACTTAAAACCTGCTTCCTGCCAGGGTGTCATTTCCTCTCTGCCAAATCATCTCCAGCATCTCTGCGAGGCATGAACGAGCTGCATCTAGAGCATCTTTTTCTGAAATCCCCTTGTCCATATGCATAAACAGGGACACACTTGAAATATGTCTGTGCGTGGGAGGGGACAAACTTCGCTCTGTCAAATGAATCAGCAACCTTTAGTTTCAACTGCCCTAGTTAAAAAATGACAGCTTCAGGTAGAAGATTCCCAGAGGGATAATGCATTAAAAAGAAGGAGAAAATCTTTTGAAATGGAAACACACATCCCCTTTCTCTTCCTATTCAGTAAATTGCTCAAAACAGGTGGGAGCCCGGTAGCACAGGGCATCTCCCTCTCGCTTCTTAGCTCTTAACGTGCTGCTCACCACGGGCCAAGCTGCTTTCACGTTTGTGTGTTCTGCTGTATGTATGTATGCATGTGTGGGTGTGTGTGTGTCAGTGTGTGTCAGTGTGTGTCCTGGAGTCTGTGGTCTTGCATCCTGTGTTCTCCACAGGACCTAGTAAGTTGTTTACCAATATATGACAGCCAAAAAACTGAATATAGGAACAAAATTCACATGTTTCACTTCAGGCTTGATATCTTGGTCAACATTTAGGTTATCAATGAAAAAGTGTTGAACAGAGCTCTCTCCCTTGTCTCCTTTCATCGCTTGTGAAACTTCTCTTGTCCTCACTGTGTTGTCTCACAAGATTTTGAGGATCAAGGGATTCCGGCCCGAGAAGTAAAAGAAGAATCCTTTCACTCTCAGGGCATTCAGACGGAAAATGGAGAAGCAATCCGGTGCCACTCCCAGAGTCGACGCCCAGAAGAGCCGGCTGGGTCTGCGAGGAGCAACAGAGGAATCGGTTCACAGGCCGCTGCTGCTGGAAGGTCCCCGGCGCCTCACAGCTTTAAACTGAAAGGTCACTGCTACCCGGAAGGTTAGCGGCTCTTACTGGGAAAGCAATGAACTTTTCCTTTGTCTTTGTACTTCCTCACTAGCAGGTGGGTTCAGTAATAAATATGTGGGGTTTTGGGCTCAAAAATAGTATTTAAAATGGAAACTTTGTTTGCACTTAGTCTTGGGCCTTATTCTGATCACTCTCCAAGTCTACCTCCCTTCCCTAGCATTGTAGAATGGGAATGCCTGCGTCACTCCTTGCCCTGTACATGGGATTACTGCCAATTTGAATTCTTGGACACTCTAAATTTAAAAAGAAATTCTGAGGGTGAATCTCATAAAAACTTTTGAAATTCTCATAAATTTATTTAAAATGTAAACCGTTTCAACTTCCAGATCAGTGCGCATTTTCCACTTTCCCTTGCAACTTCCCCTAAATACACGAGGGGTCCTTTCCACACACGCACACACATGTAAGTCATGTTTACATACATGTACGAAACTTTAAAAACCTGGGGCATAAATAAGCAGCAGTGAAATAGTTTCATGTAATGGAATTACCTTTAAAAGAATATGGTTCCAAAGGTGGGAGCCATGACCTGGAGTTGAAATAGAGACAATGTCTATCAATTGTTCATTAGCTGGGGCCTTGAATTAAAAATCTAAGAGTGCTTTTGTTATTCCTGAACTTTTTGTTCTTGTTTTGTTAAATTCTGTAGGCATTTAACTGTGGTGAGTATTGCCCTGTATTTTTTTTTTTTTAATCAATACTTTGAAGGCTTGTAGGAACATGACTATGGTTTACGAGTCTGGGGTAATTGTCTGTGAGTTTTTGCCATTTCCGCACCTCTTCTAGGTAGAAGACTAAATGCCCTTTTCCTGGATTATCTATTCAAGGATTTTTGTATAGAGAAAAGCATTAGAGAATAGAGATGGTGTCTACCACTACAACAAGGGCAGGCGGGCTTCCTATCCAGTGTAATAAAGCTAATGTCTCCTGCTAGGGCGAGGGTCAGGAAAGCTTATTGCTTATGATAGAAGGTTCCTGTTCACTCAGCTCAGGGTTCTTTACTATAATGCAATGAGAGGTGCATGCAGTTATTAACTGTCTTTGTGTTGCCCTATGGCAAAAGGGCTTGGGGAGCTGACAAGAAACGCTGACAATCTGGTTCTGCGATTACCGTGAGTAATAAATTGTCCTTTGTCTCTGACCCAGGAGGCAGGTGTCTCGTGCCAGTAGCCATGCAACTGTGTCAAGCTAACTCGTTTCCTTGCAAATATGGTGAAATCTCAGGTCTGTTTTTGACAGGTGGGTGTTTGCACAGCTCAGAATGCCGTGTTTTTTACAGTGCCATTTCTGTGAGTATCAGAATGTAGGAATATTTCCTTTGGATGGATATGAGTAAACCTGTGCTATAGACCAGGGCTCACATTCATAGGGCAAATTTGACCACTACCTGCTCTTCTAAGTAGGGCTGTTTTTTTTCGTTGTTTTGTTTTTCTATAGCATATCCACGTACATATTGCACACATCATCTGGCTGCTTTTTATGCTTCAATACCAGAGCAGGGTTGTTCCAACAGAGAGTGTACAGGCTCTCAAAGCTGAAAATTTCTACTATGTGGCTCTTTAGAGAACATACTTGCTGATATTTGTTATAGACCAAAGAAAATAACCATAAATTCAAGCCATTATCAAATAAGTTGATTTTGAAATATTCAGAGTAAAGATAGAAAGAAAAAACAGCTACGGCATGGCAGGATGGGAGTTTCACAGTGAAATGTAGATAAATCTGCTGATTATATGTACTACATATTGTAATGTAGTCAGGGTTTGTTAAGCCATGGTTGCATATATACATCCTTCAAGACATAGCTCATCCTCTTTATGAGAAGCTGATCCTGATTCTGTATTGCGGAATTTGTTATTTATTCTCAGCGCTCCCATAGCACTTTGGCTGGACATCTCTTATGACCAACTTTCTGCACTACACTGTAATATTTATATACAATTTCTTCTACACGATTATAAACTTAGTAGGATAAAATACACGTCCATAAGCACATAAACAAATTACAGTTTCCTTGATCCAACTTAAGTGATAAATGATCCACTTTTAGGAAACTTGATCTGCACAAATACTTGTGTAAAAGTGGGACCCATTAGCTACTTTTCTTTAAACAAATTTAAGTCTCAGTAGCAAATTATATCTTTATGTGCAAAAATTAAAAATGGCCTAATGCATTGTCTCTGTAGAAGATTTTCTTTTGTAAGTATATTTCTTAAAGTCTAATTGCATTTCCTCAGTTTATCTTTATTTAACAATGGAGGAAGGTGACATAGAAGACAATGATTCCTACGGGCAGGGGACAGCACGCACATTGATGGGTTTTTCTTGAGAAGATGGTGATGGGAAGATGCAGAAAAGACGGACAGAAGTAACTGTGCAAAGTGGAGGGAGAGCCAGTCAATGAGGTACTCGTTATATGCTACAGTCATGGCAGTGGGCTCCAGGTAGGCAATGCTGGAGCACAGTGGGTTAGACACACAGAAACAGGGGCAGGGGATGTAGCTCAGAGGCATAAGCACCTGCCTGGTAAGCTTGAGGTCATGAGTTTGAGTCCCAGTACAAAAAAAAAAAGACACACAGAAACAGACTGGTGGGGAAGGAAGATGCATCAGTGTGGACAGGGCTTAATGTGCTGCATTACTAGATGAGAGATTTCTACAAGAGATGGCTTCACAGCATTTCAGAAATTTAGGGTGGATAACAACAGCAGCAGCAGCAGCTGCGGTACTGAGGGCTTTGTAAGAAGCAGGCGCTCTGCCAAGAGCTTTAAAGTTAGATCACCTCATTTAATCATCACAGAAGTCGTGTCAGCCACCAGGCCACATGATTAGAAGGGAAGTCGGGAGGAACCGCGAGGCGAAGGCCAGCCCAGTCCTTTCAGATGGGGTTGCTCATTATCCCCATTTTTGTGCCAGGGCAAGTTGGCTAACAACAGGAAAAGTAACACTCAAGTTTACATAAAAAATGAGTGACTACAAGTGCAGTGTGACTCGCCTGTAAGGCCTCTCACCCCAGATCCCTAACTTCCCTTAGGACTACACTCCTCCCCTTTCCGCTGCACTCAGCTGCTCCTCACCGGCCCCAGCAGAGGAGGGAAGCCTTACGCTTACAGAGCCCTGCTAGGAATACGCGTGAAGAAGGGCTATGAATGGCACTGACTTAGCGCCCTGAGATGTGTTCTTCCACTCCCACTCCAGGCGTCAGGGAGGGTCATTCAGCAGCTCTTGCCTGCCAGCGATGACACTGCCTGTCTTCACAATTCACATGCTTCTGTCCTTCCCCAGCCTTCCACTGCTGTGCCGTTCACACTTGCAGCAGGACGGTTCTCCGCATTTTCTTGGCCATCTCATTAACATACTTAACACTTTAGAATAAGAAGACACAAAGCTTGATTTCAATCTTTAGATGTGCTAATAATAATTTTCCAGGCAAACCTCATTATTCCTGGATGCTTTCAGCACAGGCCCACTGGAAAGTAATTATGACATGTACCAGCTGTTGGCCCAGTGCTCTAGGGTCTCAGACAAAGGCTGGAACCTGTTCAGAGTCCAGCAGCTTGAAGGGGAGAGAGGAATGGGGTGGGGGAGAGCGCATAGTCACTGGAATATAACTTGGATTTATCTTTTCATTTTGAATCATTCAATCCCACTCTAACCTTAAAAAAATGTAGCTAAAAGAACATTTACCGCCAACAGGAATAGAAGGTGAAAAAGTTTGCACAGAGTGACAGAAACTGAAGTAGAATTTCAAGAATATGGAGGCAGTGTCCCTTTCGTATAGGATACAAATTAGAGCATTTAAAGGGTAGTGAACTTGTCAAGTCCTATGTGTTTGCACAGAAATAGATCTAAGAATAATCAGGTGCTCTGAGCATCCTTATCAGATTACTGTGGAAATGCAGAACACACCCCCATAAGACCAAAATTTGATTTTTCACTCTGCAGTCAAAGACTGCCATCGATTTCATGTAGAATGACTGCAAAAGCTGATGGAACAAGTTTACAAGTGTTTCTTTATATTCTGCGGTGACAAACTTTGTGTTAATTTTAGCCGATGCTACCTGCCTCCACGCTGTAACAGGGTAAAACTATTTTTAAGAGAAGAGCAAAGGGAACATGTATATTTTACAAGGCTTCCAGAATTTTAGGTTTAAACAGTGGAGTGTCAGTGAGAAAGGAGTGACTGCTCTTGTCTGACAACTCTTCTAAACTGGCAGTTACTGATAGCTCAGGACCAGGTTTTACTTTTTGTTTGCATCTTATTCAGAATGTACCTATAATAGTCACTAGTACCACATAGAAGCCTATGCAGTATGTATGCAATTAGTATCATGGTTTAGCATAGTAATACATACTTGTGATCCTATAGGCAAGATAACAATTACTCTGATTTTTACCAAACTGCATATGCTATAAAAGCCATTAGATAGACACAGCTAACTGTAGTTTGATTTCTTACACAGAGTGTGCAGTATTAGGAAGATAGTAAAGCAAAATGTCAGCTTTGACCATGAGGTCATTGGGCTGATGCAAAGTCCCCTTTGAAAATTAACTGTAGAGTTGTAAATTCAACAGAGAGTTGATTAATCAACTGTCTGTATCAATACCAAATATCGTTTTTACGGTAAAATTGGTTCTTCTTCTGGGTCCCACATTTCTGCTGTGCTCTCCCCATTTTCCAAGACTCTAGATGTACCAATCATTGCTGAAACCAGTCTCTCCTCAGTCCCCCTTAATGTTTACGGCTGATCCTTCTTGCATTCTATAGCTGTCACTTTCACTGAGCTTTGTGAAGTCCACTGTCCCCTTCTCATTCTCCGTACTACCATTCAGCTTTAGACTGTCTTTATTTCTGCATGAGCCACTGCAGTGCATTCCACTGACCTTCTGGAGCCCAAGTTCTGCCCTTTACAGTCCAACTAACAGTTCTTCCAAACATATCATCTGTGTATGCTTTTTGTCCAAAACAATTTCATAGCTCCCTATTGCCTAGTATGTAAAGTCCATTATTCACATGTGCTCTGGAAAGGCTTCCTGAAAATCAGCCTTACCCCGCTCTAATAGTGAGCTCTGTGATTTTGAACAAGACATATCACTCAGAGTTCCCTTTCCTCACTTTAAACAATGAAAGGGTTGAAACTGTTTCTTTATCATCTTACTGTTTGTTGATTTTTTTTCCTTAGGTTCTTTTGAACCCAGGGACTTTGCCCTGGGCTTCATCCTCAGCCCTTTTTATTTTGCTACTGTGTCACCCTAAATTACCAAATTTCCCAGATTGGGTTCTAATCTGCATTCCTCTGTCTTGGCCTCCCAGAATGCTGTGATTATAGACATGCATCACTATACTTAGCCTGTTTGATGATATTGTCTATGCCTTAACTTTTCATAGGGTAAAATGTGCATTGCATATTAAACAATTTTGATTCTTGTTATTCCCAGAATATGACTGATAACAGAGGGCACCTCGACATTCTCAGGGTTTGAGCCCCTTTGAGACTCTGATGAGAGCTGGGGATGCTCCTCACACAGTAATTCCATGCAGATTTCCACAGAACAAGTGTATGGACCCTCTGGAGCTGATGGAATTACCCTCTGACTGCTTCAGCCTCCTTTTTAGACTATCCTTTGTATCTTCATTCTGAGAGTTAACTGTAATAAGGTAAGTAACTTGTTGAGGTCTAATTCAAATATGGTACCCTCCACTGCATTTACTGTTACTCCTTAGATGTGAGTGACTCATCCTCTAAACTCAGATCACTTTGTGAGCACCTTTCTCAGTACATCTGATGCCCCACCTCCTATCCTAGTGATCTCTGTGTTCTAGATGATTCCTTCCATTTTGTTGCAAAAGCCTTGAAGCAGACTAAGTTGGTCCTTAGACGAGACCAGGTGCATTCAGGGTGGTATGGCTGTACGCTAAGCTGGCACTCAGCTTTGCTCCCCTCACGCCCCTCATCCCACCCACTGCCCTCGACGTGAATATCAAAGATGTTCTCCCGACGTCTATGGAACCAGTGAACAAATGAAGAGCCCAGAAGCAATTTTAGAAGCTCTAATAACTTTTTTTCAATCACTTATTTATACTTTAATAAAAATAATACCATTGCATAATTATTACCCACAACTTATAAAATATCCTAATAATAAGTAACCAGAAACACTAGGTGAAGCTGGGCTATCTGATAGTACATCCACTGTAGGATGTCAAGGAAAATTTCTGAGAAGTTTTTGTCCAGATTCTGTGGTAACATAATGTTTCTCTCTATGGCAATAAGGTCATTTTTTTAATAACCATGAGTTCTGTAGTGCATTCACCACTCAAAATGTACAACACGGGAGGACTTTAGTGTTAAGAGAGGAGAAAATGAAATTCAGGCTTTATGTTCCTCAAAGTGACCCGTCAGAGATAGAGTGTTCATGGAACACTTTGCAAAAGCACCATCTGCTTTGCAATGTAGTAATGCTGGTTTGTGTTTTGAAGACTAAGTTTTTGGTGTGCATTTAGTACTAGAAGGGAAATAGTTACCACACATTCCTTCCTGTTAGTTTGCCCTTTAACCCAACATAGTCACCTAAGATTTAAGTCTACTGACTAAGTGAAGTCGGTACTCCTGGATCTCTTACAGAAAGACACAACATTCCATTTGGGAACTGGATATGTCTCACCTTACATTCTACTCTGAGCTCGTCTAAATTAACTTCTCCATACGCCTGTGAGCTTGGGAACCCAGCATTCCACTCTGAGTCAGTCTTTCCAACGTCCTTCAGTGTATATGGTTTTAATGAATGAAAATAGTATTCATCCCCTGAATATATACATATATATATAAAAATGTATTTATAAAATATATTCACTTCCTGAATATATTCTTCAGATATATCAGTAGTAAAATTTTAAAACCTTTTTTTGTACAAGATTAACATGATAATATAAGCTGGACACATTTTTCCTCTTTGATTGGGCGTGAGGTGGAAAAAGGGATGAACCATATTTTCCGTAAAGGTAATCTGATCAGAGCACACACTTCCACCCCTCAGGACAAGGAAAAAGACGCTTACAGCTGTGTGATGGTTCTTTCAAGGTGGACGAGCCTGGAAAAGAACCGGTACTCTTAAAACGATGCTGCTCTGGTGTGATCATTAGTTGTAACGTGTGAACTTGGCTTGCGCAAGAACTGCTTGGCGGGTTAGTAAGTTCCGGCTGTGTCTGAGTATGATTGACAGGTAGCTGAGGGGAGGAGACTAACCCTGGGTGTGGCTGGTACCAACCAATAGACTTACACCTCATGCAGAATAAAAAGGGAAAGAAGGAAGTACGCTGTTTTCATCTCCCATCCTCCCCATCGCCTTTGGACACTGGGCGCCAGTTTGTTCAGCCTTCGAGCGCAGACTCGGAAGTTTTGGTGCAGACTCCTTGGCCGGCAGCACAGACTCACACCCGTGATGCTACAGTACCTGCGAGGCCTTCAGGCTTTGGCTGTTACTGGATTCTGGCTCTGGACTGTGAGACGGCCGTTCAGGGTTCTTCTACCTCTGATCCCACAGATGGCCATGCTGAGTCTTCTGCTTCTGAGCTCGCAAGCTTACCTCAGAAATGTCTCCCATAATCATACATATATTTTATACTGAACCTATTTTGGAGAACCCTAACTAATACATATGGTATCTGGAGTCAAAACTGGAGTCATGCTGCCAGGAGGAAGGGGTTTGCCTCACATGAGACCCGGCTGTGCTGCCTCTGAGGAAAAATATCACTAGCTGAGGCGCATGGGCTCTGTGTGTCCAATAATGAGCCAGTCAGCAGTATTGGAGGTAGGAAGTTTGAATTGGATGTGGAAGGCAGAGAAGAGAACTCTGAGCCCTGGAACACAGAGGTCTGAAGGAGGGGAAGGGTCTTTATGGATCGGAAGACCATTTGGAAATACTTTCTTTGGGTCTAACAAGGGAACACTTTTCTTACAATATCCAACTGTTCTTTTCAGTCGCCGGGAAATGAAGAAGGTATATGCTGCTCATTTAGCTAAACCACAGAAATAACTATGTATCTAAAATGAAGATTATATGCCATATATTTCTTAGCTTGTACTACTCTTTAGAGATCTATTTGATGGTTGAGTAGAAAACTCTGTTCTTTCGATGAGCTTTGTGTTCAGTGAGCCAGAATGAAATAGCAGAGCACGAGTGTGGACGGGCCTGGGGGACATGATGTTAAGGGGAATAAGCCCAGTACAGAAAGACAAATACAACACGATCTCTCTTATGTGGGAAATCTAAAAATGTTGAATTCACAGAAGCAGGCAGTAAGATAGTCGCTACCAGGGGCTGGATTGTAGGTGGAGGGGAGAGCTTTAGGAAGAAGTCAATGGATACAAAATATCAGCTATTAGGGAAAATTTCAAGAGATCTGTATAGCTAATAACAATTTATTATATTCTGTTTGTTTTTGTCTTTATGGGTTTTTTTTGAGATAGAGTCTCACTATATAGTTCAGGCTGACCTTGAACTCACAGTGGAGCCCAGACTGGCCTCAAATCTTCAGCCAATCCTCCTGCTTCAGTTTCCTGAGTGCTGGCGTTATAGGCATGTGCCACCACACCTGGCAACAATCTATTAACTTCTTAAAAAATTGCTAAGGGAGAAAATTTTAAGTGTTTCCAACATAAAAATTTGGTAAAAATTAGCTCAATTTAGTCATGCTGAAATGTATGCATACTTCATAACATGATATATAAGATATACATAAAATTTTTTGTATGTTAAAGACTACTTTCTAGCAAGGTGCTCTGAAACTGGAATTTGATTTTGCTAAAATGTTGAAAGCTAGAAAGGGGCACAGGTTTCTCCCAAACTGCCAGAAAAGTGTGTATTAATTTTCTATGGCCCGGAGTGGCAATTTGTCTCACAGGATGCCTCTTGGGCCTGACAGCTGTTCCTTGGTATATCCTCATGGTAAAATTGCTACACAAGTTCCTACTTATTTTCTCTGGCTACTGTAAGCCAAAGGAAAGTACTTAGGACTGGAATATTAATTATTCTGCTGATTAGTGCAAAAGTCTTTCATGGTAGGAATGGAGGGATGGTTATTACAACAAAATAAAAATTAATGTTAAAAGAATGCCGAGCGTTCTATCATTGCGGGAATGAAATTACTCCTCTCATTCCTTCCCCATGGAGGTCAACATTGCAGCTTCATTGTTTGGCTTTCCAAAGGTTTAAGGAATACACTATACATTAGAATAGGAGTCTGCTGATGTTATCCTGGTGCTTTTGAATCAGCCACTTCCCCAATTAGTGTAACTCAGTGAAGACTGCAATGATCACAGAAGACCATGAAATATAGAATGGATTCTACCAATGTTCTGCTTCATCCAACTTTCCCTAGCCCAGAGTAATTGCTGTCTTTTGAGCAACTCTAATCTCTCACTTGGTGCTTTGAATTGGAGTCTTTATTTGGATATATTCTCTTGGAAACCAGATTGTAATTCAGCTCAGTTCAACAGTATTCAGTTAAAAGTATTTACTTGACGCCTAATAGATGTCAGGGACTGTGTGAGTTGCTGGTGATAAACAGAAGACAAGGCAAGGCCCCTGGTTTCTAGTAAACGGTTTACTGTAGGTGAGGAGCCTGGCATGCAGTGCACGCATAACAGAACTGGGTGACATGGAAGAATGACCAAGGAAACAGGTGACAGTGTAAAAACAGCAGAGAGTTGAGCACAAGGTGTCAGGAAATGTGTCTGAAAGAGGTGACTTCTGTGCTGGGCTCGGGAGGAGCTGATGTTTCTTCGGCAGAGGTGAGCTGGAGCGAGGGGGAGGACAATTACATTTCAGGCAGAAAGGAAGCGTGTGGGAATGAAATTACTCCCTCGTTCCCCACACGTGGAGGTTGGAGCCTGTGACACTTGACCCATTTTGGAAAATCCAAGTAGTTCAGCACCACTGCAGCAGAAAAGTTACATGCTGGAGATCAGTAGATGATGCTGGGAGTCAGGTGACTAAGGCTTTTGCATATTGTGATACAGGACTTGAGCTTCTATCCTGTTATAGCTTGTGACTAGATGTCCCCCCAAAGTCCATAGGTAGGTGGGGCTTTCTGGAGTGGCTTGATCTAGGGTATGTGACAATTAAATTGATTTAGCATAATGCTAGGTGTGGATAATGAAGGTCTACCCTGGGTGTGGATGGCACCAACCAATAGGTTTGTAGCCTTAATGCAATATAAAGAGACAGTAAAAGAAGGCAGACTTCCCTGCTTGCTGCTTCCTGCCTGCTCTGCCAGGGACTATTCCTCCTCTGCAATGCCCTTCTGCTGTGCCACCCCACCTAGGAGCCAGCTGGCTATGGAATGAATCTTCTATAAGCTGTGGGCTAATAAACCTCTCCTCTTTTAACTTGTGGGTGTTGAGTATTGTGTCTCAACAGTGGGGGAGGAACTGAGACAGATCCTAAGGCCAAAGGGAAATTATGCAGTGGTTTGTGTAAGTTACCAACAGAAATTATTGTTAATGTTTGGTAAAGTGCGTAGATTGGAAGAGTGTAAAGAAAGGGGTAGATATTCACAGTAAGTTCAGTAAGAAACAACTGAAGTGCTGGCAATTGAAGATAACAAAAACCATGAAGGTAACACAGATTTAGGAGTTGGATGAAAAACCAGAAATTCTGGTCTGGGAGTGGGGTGAGGAGAATGCAGAGTCAGTCCCAAGTTCTGCCCCATGAATGCTGGTGTCACTGACAAAGAAGGGAGTGGAACCGGAGATACAGAAGCTCTGTAGGAGTGAAAATATGAAGTTACTCTTGAGCTTTTAAGAATATTTTTCATGTGCATTCATGGGTTGATCTGGGGCAATTGCACAGAAGGCAAAGAGAAGGGCAGACCTGGGCCACGAGGGAGAAGACTGGCCCTGCAGCCCACCCGGGGCCTGTCACCAAGTTCAGGCACTGCCGCTGTGCATTCCACGTTTCTGATGACAGCAGTAACCACGGTGCTAATGATGACGAGTCATGGATGACATGTGCATTTGATCAGCACGCGACATCATGGAAGTTAAGACTTTTTTTTTTCTATTTCTGAGGGCTTGGGCCTGAAATAATTTGGATGGTTCCACTAAATTATTCATCCTCTGTTATATGATATCCCTTGATGTGTCCTTGTTTGCAGCAGGAGATGATAACTAGTCTCTCTTGGGAACCGCGAGGCCCAGGAAGTGATCTGATGCTGCCCACAGGGTACCATAGCTCCAGCTGTTGGCATGATGCAAACAGCTGTCTCTAGAGCACAGGACAGTGTATTTGCACAACACTGAGGGAGAACACTGCTTTGAACATCATTATCAATTAACAATTATCCTTTTACCTCAGGCACTCTATCAGGTGCTGCAGTATTTTTTCTGTTTTCCAGCAGACCAGTGACACATCCACTTGAAATTTAAAATTTTCAATAGTATATTTATATATATAAACTGAAAATAAGAGTATTCATCTACTGGATAAATATAAGAAACAGGTCAAGTTTCTCTGAAGGCTCAACTGTTTTTCAGAGAGATTGCTCTTATCAACTGATTTCTCTTGGATAGTTTTACCGAGTGATACTGTGGTGTGGAGAGTGGGTTGTCAGTCAGTCTGCTGTCAAAACAAAAAGTGTCTCTCTGCAGACAGCTAGAACATTCCTGGTCTCTGACTGAACTAGGTGGTGTCTGGGCTCTGGCGTCACGCCGTGCTTCATGGCTAAAGATGACACAGGCGCAGGCCTACCAATGGCCGCGGTCAAGGTGGGCCGGGCCTCAGCCTAGGCCAGAGGGGTGCAGAAGGTGGGACAGCAGATCCGGGGCGGCCGTAGTTTGAAGGCGCCTCCCGGAGATTCGCAAGTGGAAATTCGATCCTCAGTTTCACATGTTGACGATATCCAGAACTGGGGCAGGGGGGAGTGGTTAGGGGTAGAGAGTTCATGACAACAGGACCCCTGGGATGAGATCAGTGCAGTGACAAGAAAAGACAGAGAGCCGGGCTCCCGCGCTCCCCTGGCCTGCGAGTCCTTCTGCCGCGTGAGGACGCTGCAAGGACGCCAGCACCGGAGGGAACTCCGATCTTAAATGTCTCAGCTTTGACGACCACAGCCACCTTCATATTTTTCTTTATAAATGACCCACTCTATGGCATTTTATTATAGCAACGTAAAATGGATGAGGACAACAGTTAACGGCAGGGAGAAATGTGAAAGCCAAAGAAATGTAGGTGAAACAGAAAAGGATGTGGAGGGAAGGAGCTTCAGACAGTAATTCTTTCTTTCATTTTATCACACAACGTCCTCGTCGCTTGTGCCATTACTTTGCTTAGTTCCTTTTGTTGCTGGGGTGGTCTATGTCCTGCTTGTTCCCGTTTTCTTTTGGTTGTTTTTCATATCCGAGAAGATGACTACAACTTACTCTTTAAGTATTATTGAGTGCATCTTAGGTTTTAAATTGCTGTGTAAAATAGGTACTAATGGGGAATAAGTGCTGCCTCTTCTGGATGGAATCTGTAATCTATTTTGGGAGAGAGAGTGCACACATAAAGGGCTGGGGATATAGCTCAGGGGCACAGCGCCTGCCTGGCAAGTCCAAGGTCCTGAGTTCGATTCCCAGTATGTATATATATAGTAGAACAGAAAGGCCAATAGTATATGGACCTAAAAGTCTGCAAAGTGAGCTCAGAAGCAGAATTGCTCCTCAAAAGGAAGCCAGAAAAAACTGTAAGGGGGTAGCGATGTTTTCACATGGGGTGAGAAGGATGGTTAAACATTGCCGTGAATACAGGCATGTAGGGAACTACTTGAGCAAGGGTGTAGCAGAGAAAAGCAGATTGCAGATCCAAGGAAATCCTGACAAAAGCTGCCAGAGTGGAAGGTGATAGTTTTAAAATCTTTCTGAAGTTTATTTTTCCGCAAGAATTTTATTTTATAACTCCTGTTATTTTCTCAGAAAATACCAAGACTATTAAAACGTTACACATTTTATTATATGAATCCAAGCAAACATGATGCTCAAACATTTGTAAACTCTGTAAATAATGTACATTTTAATTTTATTGTGCTCTGAGCATGTCTGTGAATGGCCACAGTAACTCTGTGAGTACTGATTTAGGAATTGCAAGTTTTAGTCAGCAGGTCAACTCACAATTTCAGAATGTATCAGCGATGGGCACTGGCTCTACTGTATTCTATAGATTGCTCTCTTACTCTCCTTATTCCTTTAATGAACCAATCATCTTAGTTTGAAAATAATCCAATTTATAAATTGTTTTCTTACGTGGTTGATAGTTTTTGGATCTTTTTTAAGAAAGACTTTGGTATCAAGATTATTATTTTAGATATGATTGACCAGAAAAGAGATGTCCAGATATGGATTTACACTTCTGGGGAAAATGAGACAGAAAGTCTGGAAAAGAGGAGGAATTCTCTTGTGCTACATCCATAACAGAGGCCAGGGGCAAGGGATTCTTGGGCTAGGACGACCCCTCAGCATTATTCTTTATTACAGCCAGGAGGCTCACCCTTTGTGCAGGTCAACAGCCCAAACTCTGATTGAGGTTTCCCTGAAGTGGGGTGACCTTGGAGAATGTAGCTCTTTTGAACACTAAAAACAAAAAAATTTCATGGAAGGGCTGATTCACTTGAAAAACATCAGCTGACAACAGTCAAGGAGAGAATCAGTTTCCAGGCAAGAATGCAGTGTACATTGCTTCCAAGATCATTTTGCTGTCCTCACAAAGCGAGGTAGAGTTTTGAACATTTTTCATATTATCCAGAAGAGCTTGGTATTATTTTCCCCTTCAGCCTTTGGAAGAATTCACTGATTAATGTATCTGAACTTGCAAAGGATTTTAATTAAAAACTGAATATATTTGATATGGGTACACATCCACTCACTTTTCAGTTTTTGTTCTAAGCTTATAAGACTGTTCCTCTAAATTTGAACATTTCATTTACAACAGGTTGATAAAATATTTAAATTTTTCATATTCCCCTTATGTTTGCTTATTAATTTTACATTCTTTTACAGTCCTGTAGGAGCTGAATAACTGTGAGAACCCTGGACATGCCTGGATACCACGGTGCGCAGAGTGGCACGCATCGGGAACGATGGGTGGCCTCTGGTAGCTAAGCACCTCAGTCCTACAACCACATGGAACTGAGTCTTTCTGAAGAGCGAGCTAGCAAGAGGACACTCAGCCTCAAATATAGCAGCACCAGCTCCTCTCTGCTTTTAGCCTGCCCAGTGGACCCACTTAATATCTGTGGAATTCTGGCCCCATGGATGTTGTGACGTATATTTGTTTAAAGCTGCTAAGTCCTCTATAATTTATCATGCAATGCTATGAAACTGATACATTCAGCAACTACATTTAAAAGCTTAGTGTGCACTTTATCATATTGTAGAATTAATCAACAGATTAGAGTTCAGCCAGATTATGTAACTTGAACATTTTAACATTGTAACATTCTGTTAAACTACTAATAAAGCCTAAGAGTATTCTGTTACGTTTTTAGTGCTATAAGGTTGTACGGATATAATGGCTTATATGGTCAGTATTCATTTAGATTTACCTGCACCTTTATCATTTTCTTTTCTTTCTATTTCATCCCAGCTCTTGTATGACTCTCATCTGGAGCACATTACTTCTTACTAGTGATTATACAAGGTAGAATTTTCTTTTAATGACATCATGCAGAGAAAAACTTGGTTTTTGATTGCCTAAAAGTATTTTTCCTGTATCATTCTCTCATTCTTGGAAGATATTTTCATGTTATAATATTTTACATTAACATTATTCCAGCACCCTGAAGATAAGCATTCAATAATTTCTCATTTTCATTGGTTGTGAAATCAGCTTGAGTGCTGCCTTTTAATTATTTAACTTTTAATACATGTTATTTTTCTTTGCTTCTGATTCTTATCTCTTAGAAGGGCTCATTAGATTAGTTTCCCTTTGCCATATAAGATATGATCATGGAAGTAATATTCCATCATATTATAGATTGTGTCCATACTCAAGGGGAGGATATAAGTCACTGAGGTCATTTTTAATTCTGCCTATAGCACTAAATGAAGTTTTAAAAATTCATCCTTTAAAAATTAAGTGTAAAACCTCTAATCTAAGAAGGTAACAATAAAAATAAAAGGGAGAAAAACTGCTCTATTAAAAAAGGCAATAAAAGACTGGGATAGAGCTCAGCAGCACAGCACCTCCCTGGCAAGCGAAAGGTCCTGAGTTTGATCCCTGGTACCAAAAAGAAAGACAAAAAACAAAAATATAAGAAAAAGGCAATAAAGGAGAAAAATATTGAACAGATGCAGAAAATACAAAGCACAAATGCATGCAAATGTATCATTAAATGTAAGTGGATCAAATGCTATAATTAAAGAAATCAAGGACATTTTAAAGACCAGAATACAAAACAAAACCTAAAATATAACTATATGTTCCTTATCAGAGATATTTCTAAATACATGGACATGTTATTTGAACCAGTGGAAAAAGACATGCTAGTTTATTTTAAAAGGAAACCTCTCATGAGCAGAAGCATTGTTAGACATGAAAGAATTAGAGTCATAAGTCTAAATTTACCAGAAAACTACAACTTTAAGTTTGTAGGAAATTTATACATAGATCTAAAATATTTAAAATCTAAATGAGACTACAAAGGTAAGGTAAAATGGAGACATTCATGGTCACATATCAAGATTTTAATATAACTCTAATAACTGATAGAACAATTAGACAAAAAGAAAGAACCCTTGAAAATCACAACTATTAAACTTGATCTATTGAATTACATAAAGTTCTGTGCCCCAAAACTGCAGAACACATTCCTTTGAAGTACACATAAAAGATGTACTAAGTTTGATCATATCCTGAGTTATAAAAGCAGCTCAACAAATTTCAAAAGAATTGAATAAGGTAGATCATGTTTTCTGACCTCAGAGCAATTAAGTACAGATCTAAAGACAATAGAAAAGCCTCAGGTTTGAGACTGAGAGATACATACACTCAAATATCTCATGAGTCAAGGAAAAAATCATAGTGAAAATCAGAAAACATTTTGAAAATAACAAGATATTACATATGAAATTTTTAAAGCATTTTCATTTGAGAGAAAGAAAGATTAGAACGGACTGCTGTAAACGTCAATCTCAAGATGATGGAAGAAACAGCAAAAAGGCAGAAGGAGCTAAAGTGAAAACATATGGAAGGCAAGCATAGAAACCGAGAAAGGATGATCAGAGAGAAACGTTTTCAAAAAGAACAGGGAAGCCTCTCCAAAACCGAGATGGAGAAGATTAAATAAAATACATAATCACCCCTTGTAGACATTGCAAACACTGAAGATAGTTTAAATGTACGTAATGAGCACCCATATGCTAATACATCTAACCATAGGCTGAGTGGACTGTTTCTTAGAGAAGCAGAACTTCAGTTAGATTTAGAGCAATTTTAATGGGATGGTGAGAAATCCCAATTCAAAGGAGTCTAAGGAAGATTGAGAGAGGAACTGGGGTAAAAATGGTATTCTGAAAATGTTTATGGTGCAGAGAAATGGGGAACTAGTGTAGCCGGATGACTAAACGAGGTCAACCGTAGGTTTTTCTCTTCAGATGGGAGATATCACACAATATTTGCATACTATTGGGAATCATCCAAGAGGGATGAAAACCTGATGATTGAAAAAGTGAGACACTGCTACAGAGATGTGTGTGGGAAAGGAAAAGAGGTGGCAAAGTGTGTGGTTGGCTTCCAGTGAGAGCATGGTTGTTATTCACTATGTAGAGGTGGGGGTGGGGTCAGACACTGGAATGGGCTGGATGTGCTGGCTCAAGTGTATGCAAATTATCTTTAGTGTTATTAGATGAGAAAGATAATGTCCAGATACTCTCAGTATTCTACACTTAAATAGAACTTAAGGGAAAATCCCTACAAGATTTTAGTAAAATTTGGCAATCTCATCCTAAATTTGCTTGATGAATACAAATCAGTGTTGAAGAAGAAAAATCTATATGTGTGTGTGTGTGCATGTGCATATGAGTGTGTGTGTGGTTATTTCCATGTATCAACAATCATTTTATACCTATACCAATTTACACAGTTTAGCAGCAGCATAGGAGTAGCAAAATAGACAAGTTAAAATAACACTGAGATTCCATCTTGCTCCAGAAAGAATGGCTTAGAGTTCTTCAGAAAGAATCAAACAGTAACAAATGCTGGCAAGGCTGTGGGGTAAATCAAACCCTTCTTTGCTGGTGGGAATGTAGAACTAGCACAATCACTATAGAAATAAGTATGGAGATTTCCCAGAAAATGGAAATTAGAAATTCCATTTGACCCAGCTACTCCTCTTGTAGGTATCTTCCAGAAAGAGTTAAGGCTAGCATATTACAAAGATACATGCGTACCTTTTCTTATAGAAGCACAACTCATAATAGCTAAATCTTGGGGGTGGCCAACATGTCCACCAACAGGTGAATGGATAAAGAAAATGTGGTATTTATACAGAATGGAGTGCTACACTGCCATAAAGAAGGATAAATGAGATATTTGTAGGAAAATGGATACACCTTGAGGCCATAATGTTAGGTGAGATAAATCAGATGCATAATATTAAATATTACGTGATTTCTTTTATATGAGAAATACAAAATAAAAATGAAGTACAGAATAAAATAAAAGATGATAGAAAACAGGGAGATCGATCTTCTGTAAAAGGGAAGTCGACCAAGAGATGGAGAAAAAAAGGAAAGGAGGGAGGGAAGGAGACAGAGAGGATGAAAAACATGAAGATGCATTAGCACACGCACCAACCTCCCATGATGAATGGGATCATTATGTACCACAAACATATATTAATACAATAAAATGTTGTAAAATTAAAACTAGATAGTGACACTCAGTGGAGATTGACACAGACCCAAGCATACGTGAGCACTTACCAGAGAGAATTCATATCACATGTTACTGGGAAGAGAGGTCACTTAATACATGATCTGGGCTACTAAGTGGTTATCTATGTTAAAGACTTAAATTAGCATTCAGAAAATAAACATTACAAAACACATAAACTACATGTGAAAAATATTTAAGGCTATGGAAGAAATAGGCGCATACTTATTGTCCCGTGCCCTCTAGGAATACATTTTTTAAATATCCAGAACACTCTGCTGCTCTCTGTGGTGTCGTTACTCAGGCTCCAAGTATGCCTGGGTAACCCAGGGTGCCTCACTCTGCTGTCCTGCTGGAGGGCAGGAATCAGTGGTGAAGTGGGAAGGGGAACTATTTTAAATGGAATTTTGATGGCATTTGGCAGTATCCTCACTGTTTCTATTGACATTCCCTGCTTAATTTTTCTTACATGAAAGGAAGATGCATTGTATCTGCTCTGTATATGTGCCACAACATTATGTGTCTATCTGTTACATGTGGTATGGTTTATATTATAAACATACCTTAGACATTAGCAGCCATGTTAGTGCTCATGAGAGTTAGAGGGAAGGAGCTGTTTTTACTAAAAGTCTTCTGCAGAACTTTTCTTTCTCCTTATTCAGCTCTTCTCTCTTGCTGTCTCTCACACCTTCCTGGTCCTCCTCCACGCGCTTCTGAGCTGATGCAAGCCCAGCGTGCCTTTGAACCCAATGGGAGCTCTGCAAGGTGGCAGGTGAAGCTGAGAAACGGGACTTTTGTATTTCTTGCTTCTGTACCTTGCAGCATTTGTCAAAAATTTCTGAATAAAGCTCCAAACACTTGGCCCTGAATTTTGTGAGCTCCTTAGATCTCTGCCACAGAGCTTCTTCTTATGGTGTCTTCAGCCAGATAATGATCTCCAGAGACTCCCACCTGCTCCAGGGCCACCCATTCCTTAGAGGGACGTGCTGGAATGTGGTGTCTGCTTAATCTCTGTTTCTGAAACTGCAGTCTGGCTAAGAAATATTGAGGGCATCTAATTAGCATGAGACACATCACATTTTTTAGATACCACTTTTTCTCCCTCTACATTATTCCAATCCAAATTGTGCTCATTTAAGGAAGAAAAAGGGCAAATTTAAATGAAAAAAAAAGGTAAGAAAGCGTTCTGTACAATCATTTATGTTTAGTCATGGCACCTGCAGCTTATTAGCTGATTTATCTTTTATATACCTCTCTTGCTGACCCCAAATCTGCTGAATATTATTTTAAAGTTGGAATCTACCGGTTTCTACCACCAGTAATGCATCTCCTGTACGAGCAGTCTATAAAAGGGAGAGAGCCCCTCAGGCAGAAGCAGGAGTTGGGCCAAGCAAAATCAGGACAGGTTGCAATGTCAAGAATTTTAATCTTCACAGTTGAAGATCACACCACCAAATTGAGGACAAGGATTTGGAGTGAGGAAAATGTAGTTATTATCAATGAAATAGTGGCAATCAACTAGTCAGTGTTTTTTGTCTTTTGTATTTTGTTTTTTGGTTTTTTTGTGGGGGGATAAAGGAAATCAGAAGCTGGGAGTGTT